TGAGTGACGAGTGACTGCAGGATACTAGGATCTATGTCACGGTACAGACTTGGAATTCCTTGTATATAATCATTAAGAAATAAAGTAAGAAAAATGCCGTCTTCTGGGATGTGGTTCCTTGTAGATCTTGTGTGAACCGACGTTTCGGAAGAACGCATCGCCTCACCCCTGTAAAACCTCAAATTTTACATACCGTAAGTAGATTTGCACTTTCCAGTGTACTTTCTCTTGTACAAAACATAGTACAATGATAGACATTTTGGATATTAGTCATCGTCCTACTTTTACTTAAAACAACGTCTCGGAGACTGGACTGCGCCTCCGTCTTCAAGTAAGAAGCCTTCTCAGTTACACCCAACTGATAAGAGTTAGTCCCTACTCCCGGATACCGGAACAACACAAGGCAGGCTATATATCTATATCAAACACAACATGAACCATCTACGGAAATTAAGACAATTTTTTCTTTAACGCCACATGCATGAGACCTTGCATCTACGAGTATTTCCACGCCTAATGTAACGGTCAGAGCCAGTAACACTTGAGTCTGGTTTAACAAGGTGAAACCGCACAATCAAACCCTAAAAGGGACTAACCTTAGATAACCTACATTACCGAACTTTGCAGTCATAGATAAGACAGAGATAAGTACAAATACGAACCCAACTAGTACAGAGGATTAAAATTCAAGCAGATAAAATTTCCTACCTACCAATTGGGACCTTTACAACAAATACGCCAGTAAAAGTAAAGCTATCCCTGTAAGAGGCCATGGAGGCCCAAGGGTTGCGAGACGTCGAGGCTCCCACATTTTTCTAGTCAATCGCCTCATAGATGGCGGTGAGGTTGTCAGCCTTAAGCACCGGCCTCCCTTTAACCCCCAGAGTACTAATTTCTGTTAGAGGCTGATTTGACCCCAGGTCCATATTTGGGTTGGAAGGATTAGTTCAATAGTCCAAAGACCTCAACCGAAATCGAATCCGCGACCTTCTGGCTTGTAGCATAGTGCCTCAACCAACTACGATACCGCGTGCCTCACAAATAAATGAACCAGTACCGATAATTATTAAAGAAATTCGATACTTTACATTAGGAACACAAACAGAGAACTTTCCAGTTTATAATCGTGCATATTGCCTTTCTGTCTTAACTCCCGCATATGTTTTACGTTGCGTTTAGTTTATAAGACCTGTGTTGTGTGGGTTCTGTGTTTGGATATGGACACTTGTTCTGTCGATTGGGCCCAAATGAGTAGGCTTTTTACTCGAGGACGGAGACAGAGTTCAGTCTCCGAAACGTTGTTTCAAATAAAAACAGAAGAATGCATAATGTCGAAAATATCAATAATTCTATTAACAGGACATCATGAAACACAGTAGATCATGAGAACACTGTCGCGGAATGGAACATGTGCAGGCCTGCAGGAGACGTGTAACAGGGTAAAATAGTGAAGTTGTGTTGACCGTGTTATCATTCTGTGTAATTCTAAGAACATAAGTGAATATTCGGGTGTGGGCCATTACAATGCAGAAATATCATGTTCAGAAACATTTGGCTGAGTGTAAAACAAATTTCTTTATTTATTATTATACAACTCCGACAGTCTTAAACAGCGTTTAAAAGTCACAGAAGGGAATAGACCCGGATTCTAAGAATCTAAACTGAAACTTCTGTACGGTTCACAATCTTTGCTGGCAATGCTCTTGGCCACCACACTGTAATTCCAGTTATTACAAAGGCCCACAACATGGCCCTCGGCATCAAACTGTTTGTTCCCCTTGAACAGAAATTCCAAGAAAAGGAATAGTTGGAATTTGTAGTATAAAAGAATGGAGCAATGCTATGGTTAGGGTATGCGTATAAGAGGTTATAATTAAATCTTATTATTGAGCACTGCTCATCTTCCCCTCCGCTGCCCCTTCCCCCCTCCACGGCACGCGACTCCACTCCGCAGCACGCGCCACACGTGAGTTGCCCACGCGCCACTGCGCGATCACACCTGTGCTTCGCCCGTCACCGCTGGCTCACCAGGTAGGCAGGGGTGACCAGAGCGCGGGTAGGCCACCCACACACTCGGATCACTTACGGAGCATGGATATTATAAAGGGCTGACCGTCCATACAAGGAGTTCTGCGGCGTGTCTAAAATATCCACAGCCTCAGTAACAGGAACTTGAGTCAGAAATGGCCAGGCGCTTCACTTCATAGCAGTAAACAAGTCCCGGTTTCACCCACTAATAAGGTTACGTTATCGTACTGCTGTTCCCCCTTCTGGAGGGCACGGCTTCAGTTCTCGGCCCCCGAGACAAGTTCTCGTATGTCTCCTTAGGAGCACGTGATATCGTAGTTGGTTGAGGCACTATGCTACAAGCCGGAAGGTCGCGGGTTCAAATTCCGACGAGGTCATTGGATTTTTTTCAATTGACCTAATCCTTCCAGCCAGACTATGGCCCTGGGGTCGACTCAGCCTCTAACAGAAACGAGTGCCAGGAATATTCTTGGGGGTAAAGGGCGGCCGGCGCGTAGGGCTGACAACCTTACCGCCATCTTTGAGCCGATTGTCTAGATAATGTGGGAACCTCAACATCTCACAAGCCTATGGGCCTACACGGCCTGTTACAAGGATAGCTTTACTTTTTTACTTTTTACTTACTCCTTAGTCCATTCACGAGAATTCTGGGATTCTGTCCTAAAACAGGCCACAAACGCCTCCTTCCCCGTTCTTTACCACATTGAGTAGCCTCATCACAGAAAACAACTGTTTAAAATCTGAGAGTCTCACGACAGTCCCTGTGAAGAGCCCTATTTTGTGGAATGTGATGCCGTGCAGTCTGGTAGAAGTTTAACTTATATCAGACTAGAGACACCAGCCCGATAATCCAGATCGTTATCCCTCACGGCTACCCAGTCCGTACGGAGTCAATTTACTTATTATTATTGTTATTATTATCAGTGAGATGAGACTGAGTCCGCTTGGCACCGCAGCCACTTTTGTTCTATTGTACCAGTCCCAGATGATCGATTGTGAATGTGAAGCAATTTGTGGAATGACAACTGGCAGGGGAAACCGAAGTACTCGGAGAAAACCACAAATCCCACATGACCAGACACGGGCTTGAACCCGGGTCGCCGAGGCGGGAAGCCAGCGAATAACCGCCTGAGCTATGGGACGGCCAGTCAATTTACTTGCTGAGCTGCTCTCTTTAGGCCAAGTTAAGCAGGAGAGGGCCCCTGAGACCCATCAAGCTGAGGTCTCATATGGGTCTAATGTGAGAGGAGCAGGGAGAATTAGTGGAGCCATAACTGGCAGAAGGAACCCCAAGGGCTCGAAGACACTCGTAACCAAGTAAACCCCACATTGAGTATCCTGGGATTGACCCCCAGGCATTCATCTCGTCTATGGCACCTCCTAACGTGCATTAGCAACATTAGCTTACTGCCTGCACCTACAGAAACTATAAGTATGAACTTGATTTAAGTATCAGGAAAGCAATTTTAAGTAATATTCAACTTGAAGCAATAATTCTCCATTTCAGGCGCATTTGCATAAATTCGCGCGTGAATCAATATTGTCCCCCTGCCTGTCTGTCTCTCCTGGAGCAGAGGTAGCGACGGGCTATGGGCTGGACGGACGTTGTTCGATTCTTGGCAGAGCAATTAGACTTTTCTTTATACAATAGCGTCTAGTTCGGATCTGGGGCTCACCCAACCTCCTATCCAACTGATACCGCTGTCTCTTTCCCAGGGGATAAAGTGGCAGGGGGTGTGACGTCACCTCAATTGTGGAGCAATACCTCAACTCCTCACACGTCTTAATGGTGCGTTGCGCAGGGATAACTTCACATTTACCTTTCCCTGCCTGCCTCTCGACTAGGAACAAATTAATTCTGATATATTTGGCAATTGGATTTTCTGTACGAACGTCAGAAATTGTGAAGATGAACGGGCCCTCCCTTCAGAACTTTTGGCCGATATGCTAACCCTTAGGGGTTATGCCTACCGCAGTACGGACTAGCAGGATCTGAAGAGAACTGAATTACTGCTACACATATTGGGCGCATGCGCACTGTTCAAGGGTCTGTCGGTCGGTTAATATTTCCCATTTGCAGCCTTCACCTCAGACCGTTCAGTTTTTTTGTTTGTTCCTACAGAATAGTCACGGGATACTACCTTGAAATAGGCCACGATCATTTGTACACCTTATAGGATTACAGATCCTCACAGCAGTGGTTATGAAAAGTTTTAGCTTCTGGATATAACCTTAACAGGCGTTTCGAAGGAACGTGCTACCATCATCTTCAGGGTCCGTTGACTTTCAACGGACTTCACGGAGTTATACCCCAGAATATATCGTTCGTTCGTATAATATACCTATTTTATGACATGATAAATATCTGCAGTTGAAACAGCACGGTTAAATAACATTATGAAATATAAATAATACATGACTGAACATTTGGAGATGAGTGTCGATAATGTTGGTCACCCCTGCAGCTCCTACTACAGTTTCACACTAACGGAACTACTTTTTTCCCGCCAAGGCCAAACAACCGGCTACCAGTCCCCTCCTCAACTAACTGCCTCATCTTAATCCACACACACACAACAGCGGTAATAGTTTGAACAAGGATAATTTAAAAACAGGATTCACATGAGGCCTTCCCCTTAACGGTCGCCCCTCTTGAACAATTCACGCCGAACGAGAAGGTGAAACCGGTTCCCTGATTGGCCAATCCTGACTACGTTGCTATGGGTATCCACTCCTTCACTTCCTTCCCGAGCCTCACTCCAACCAATCAGTGTACCTCTGCATAATCTGAGAAAGGAGAGGGAATTGGGGAAGTGGTGGAGCGGTGCGTGCAGATTTTCTGCCATGTCAAGTTCCGTGCGGCCCGGTAAGTGAGAACTAGTGTCATCAGGTGAGGGCTTAAAGTACGCAGCTTGTTCAAGGGAGGAGGGGTTTGGTAGCTTCTAGAGGAGGGATTTTGGATTAGTGGGGAAGTCAAATCAAAATCATCCGATATGGGCGGGAACAGGCTTAATATAATTTTTTCTTAGCTTGAGGTGTACAGAAAAGAAGAAACAAAATAAAGCAATGGGAGTTGAAAAGCGCGTAGTGCAGGTTGCATGTGAAGTGCTGTTGAGCAGTCAGTCTACCCGGTGACCGGTGAAGCGTTAGGACGTGGGTTCTCGCTCCTCACTGTCAGTGTGTGTGGTTCTCAAGTGGACCGTCCGCATGCACGCGGCTGTTGTCACCCTTCTTCTTCAGCAGCCACAGATCTGGACCTCCGCCGCCATTCAGACAGGTAAGGCGCCTTACACACCTCAGACGGCCGTGACGGGCAACGGCCCTATATGGATGCAACATAATCCAGCGATTTCGTCGTCATTTCCAATGTGAAGCACATTTTTTAGGAATTAAAAAGGAAACGATTCGAGACACTATAGGCCAGGATTTACAGGCGTATCCCTTAAACGCATGACCGGTAGGAGAGAGGTGAAATGGAGCCCGGGTCAGTCATAAACGTGTAGCCCCCACTCTACTCCGAAAACCATACAAGTATATGTAACAAATACTTTTTTTTTCAAGATTTGCTACAAGTTATTAAAATAAATGTTATATTGTATAATAGAAACGGTATAGTGTTTTACAGTTTACATATTACTTACACTTACTTCACATAATTTGAAATTGATTTAATTTTTTTTTAATTAAATAAGAGCATACTTG